GCCATGGCCGGGGAGTTCGAATGGCTGATCTCAGATGGGTTTTGCAGACGAGATGTTTGAACAATCCCGAGGAGAGGTGGAGGTGAACACCGAAATCCCCACAGCCCTCGGCAAAGCGAGAGTAGGCCAATATCTCCTTCGGGGCTCGAGAATGGCGAGAATCCAATGTCCAAGGACGAAACACCGTCAAACGAGAGCCCGCTGCAGGATGCAATTACTACCTGCGTAGCTACCACTAATTACTGGTCTTTGTTCTGGTGTGGGGTTTCGGACGCACGCGGAGCAGCAGCCTCTCTTCATTCCGTTCACGTCGACGAGCATGTCGCCTTCAGCCAGCTCAGCGTGCACCCGACCAGAAACATGTGTGTGCCAAAATTCTGAATCTTGAAGCCCCCTCTTATGTTGCGAAAGCCGACGGAGCCAGGCCACTACAGCGAAGATCGCGCTGGACACGCACACCCACAAGCACCGTGTCATGCAGAACACGCAAAACCGCACAAATCCCCATAAAGAACCAAACAAGAACACTGAGCAACCCACTCTTTGGGCCTGAAGAACTGGAATAGGTTTTTGTTGGTTGTATCGTACTTTCAGGCCTTTGGGGACTTAAGATTCAGGTACATTATTCCTTTTTGTTCGGGTTGCTAGAACCATGTTGTACATACAACCATAGACTATGAAAAAACGATTCGAGACAATGCAATATAAGAAACTGTCGTAGAGTATATAATTCTCAAAAGCAAAATACAGTACAATGCACTATGCTGTAACATGTCACAGTCAAGTAGGATACTCATGTTATAATACAAAAAACAGTAAAAGCAATATTGACATATACGTGTATCATATGCATGTTCATATGTTCATATACAAGTTTGTACAAGTATATAGATACATATACACATATGGAGGAATTATAACAGCACGAACTACCAAAACAAAACAGCTCCGCATAATACGACACCATATAAAATCAACCGCGGAATAATAGGAGCAAAAGTAAAAGCAACCATATGTTAGATAGAACATAAGGAGTAAGTTGAAATACAAGTTGACATGCAGCACGGTGCAGCATAGACCTCTGTAGAACAATAAAACAAGACCAGCTGATATGACCTATTGTTATACGATACAACAGTATGAAGTCGTGTAGTAGATGTATAGCACTACACAATACGGTAAGACGTTTTGATCAAGTATACTATGCTGACGAGAAAAATGTTTTATACAGTCATAATATAGAGCGACATGATACAACTCCAATATATTGTCATGAAGTATAGCGGGCACGAATAATAATAATATTGGTAATGCTAACACCATACATGATCACGAATTACAATATACTTTGGGATAGTATACTAGCGTGTAATGTAATACAACACACTGCAGCATGTAAATCACATATTGTAACATGATATAGTGGAATACACAATAACTTTCGATGTGCGTGATATAATATAATGCAGCGCAATACAATGGAGTATGATAGAACATAGCACCATGCTTGTACAGTTGCGTTTAAGATACTACTATAAGCCGGTATACCGTAGCATGTTATGGCACAACACAATGCAAAACACCATAACGATAGATTAAGTTTGAAATTACAGTACATAATATGACATTACATTACATTGCATTCTGCTATTAGTACACAGTACATTTTACATCACAATATGATACTCTCTTGTAGTGTTGCTGTACATTGTATGATTTTGCATTACATGGTATTACAACATGTGACATGACCTAATACCAAAACGCATTCTGTTCCATTCCGTCACGTTTTCAGAACTTGCAACCATATGTCATATCATTCCATATTGCATCACTTTGTATTGGTTTATGCCATGATATAACATAGTCTAGGTGGTACATCATATTCTGTCACATTTCGTTCTTGAATCCACTATAATATACTGTCATATTACTTCAAACTACTATTCTATTCTACTATATGAGGCTGTACTCCGAAATCTTAATCTAGTAATCTGGAGGAGCCCAGGCTCCCCGGCATCGCTTTCGGCGTGTACGGGTCGGCCTCGACATCGAAGGCGGGGTTCGGGTTTCGTTTCCGTAGCTCTTGACATTGTTTAGGGTTTTAGTTTGGCTGTAGGCTTTCAGGTGTAGGGTTTAGGGTTCAGGCTTTGAGGTTTCGAGTTGGAGCCTATTCTCTTTCGGCTTTGGGAGCAATGAGAGGAACTACACGAAAGGAGTCGACCACTGTAAACCTTATCAGAAGGATCATGGGCCCTCCTAACTCTGTCAGAAGAAGCCCGACAAAAACTCACCAAGTCGGAACCCCCGTAAGTCCCCCGAACTCTAAGCACCATATGACCCTGGAGTCCTAGAAGACCTGAAGGATGTCCTCCCTAAACCCTACACTCCAAAACCCCTAAAACCCTAAATCCCTAAAATTCCTGAAAACCCTCAAACCCCTAAACCCAAAAACCCTAAACCCCTTTGACCCTGCTTTTAAGGGATAAAATTCCTGAAAACCCTTTAACTTTAACCCTAAACCCCTTAAACCCTGCTTTTAAGGGACGATCGCGAGCCTCGGATTTTGCTAGGGAGCTCAAGTCGAAGCCGGGATTCGCCTCCAGGTCTCCCACAGCTGGAAAAATGATTTCGGTTGGTTTCAGGTTCAGGGTTTTCAGGGGTTTAGGGGATTAGGGGTGTAGGGGTTTAGGGGTTTAGGGTTTAGGAGTTGAGGGTTTTAGGGTTTAGGGGTTTCGAGGTTTTGGGTTGGTTTGTGGGCTTTGATTCCTTTGGGAAGGGAGTGGGAAGGCTCTCCAGTCTAAGGCGCTACATGCCCAAAGTCAGAGTTCTTCCGCAGATGGCCCTTGCAGTTTGGAGCTTCGGACATTAAGTTGTCGGCGGAGGCAGGTGCTAGGGCCCTTTGGCACACCCAGGTCTTACGCGCGACGAGTCAGCCAGTATTTTGCTAAAAAAGCCTGATGCCAAGGATGTGGCACGACTGAGCTTCGTCATTTAGCCGGATATCTTCGAGTCTAGAAGGGATTCGGAGAACGGACGAGGGCACCCAGTGCTGTCACGTGTCACGTCAGAAGCTCTATTTTCAGCCTACATCCAGTTGACATTATATAAGCTTTTCTGATTAGAGGGATTTGGGATTCGCGGTCTGAGGTGTGGGGAATTGGCAGATCGAGTGCGGGAGCACACTTGCTTTTGTCTGTTGACACGCATGCTGCAGCGATTCCAGGGCTGGATGCCCGATGCCTACGCAACAATGCTTCCGTTGATGGCACTCGCTCCCCGACAAGGACTCCACAAACACTCTTGGAAGGCAGTTATTGACAAACTACACCCTTAACTGCCTTAACTCATCCACTATCTATTTTAATCTTCGGTTGGCTTCCTGTCAGACGACGGCTGATACGGTTTAGGGTTTAGGGGATCTTCCCCCCTAGAACATTGCAACTCATCTGGGCAACTTGTGCCCCGGGATCGCAGGGAAAGAGCTGCTTCTTGAGGCACTTTGGTGCACCAGCAGTGTCAGATTTCCCATTCTTCGGGTTTAGGGTTCAGGGTTTAGGGTTTAAGCCCGGAGGCATCAATGGGTTTTCATCAGACTCCCTGTCGCACCTAAATCTGACAAACGACTTCCATACCAAACAGGCTGCAACAGCTGCAGCCAGCTGGAGCAATTTCTAGGTTGGCTGCTTCGGTACGTTTATAATCCAAGGATACCCAAAATCCTGAACTCTAATGGGGGCATGTTTGTAGGTTCACTGAACAGGACATCGGATTTGCCTGCCCATCCAAGGTTCTGTTGAGGCTACGAGGATGTTACTTTCTGCTCTGGTTGTACCATGAAGGCAAGTGTTCAAGACACATAAAGACTTACTGCATGCACTTAAATGCTTGTGTATATACATATACGTATGTATACACATGTGAACACAATCACACATGCATGCGCACACACGCACACACACACACACAATTGCGTACACGCATGTGTTAAACTGTAAACAATACACGCATAAGCCGGACAGTTTAAGTAATACTTGAACGAGTGTGCAAATACTCACACACTGAGTCTTGCATGTACACACAGATGGGCATGTGCAAAGCATAGGAATATCATGCTCCGGTGAGGCTCTCACATTCAGGGCTTCCAGTCATGTGTGTTGGGTTCTGCCTGCTGTACACCACAGGACTTGGGCACGTCTACCTGTGAAACGTTGCTTTCGGAAGGAGTCCTTTGTTGCGGGTTTTACGACTTAGAGTTTGAGGGTGTAGGTCTTCAGCCCTACTGTAAACCCTAAACCCCTAAACCCTAATTCCAGGGCATTGTGTCGCGGCATGTTGGGACTTGGGCTGCCAAGTTCTGCTTCGGAAGCGCAGACTTCGTGCATGCTCTCTCCCCCAAACCCTAGATCCCTCAACCCCCTATGCGGCAAAACCTCATACTTTGGAAAATCCAGGCTGTGTGGCTTCGTGGCTCTGAGGTCATATGAGTTGCTCTCCGTTTTCTAAAGGTTCCTGTTGTTGGGCAAAGAGCGTCAAGGACACCTGCTGCCACCAGTGTGAAAGGCTTTACATGACACCTGTAGTTCCTTCCGGAGGACCATGCTTCAATCAATATCATGACCCTGATACTTAAAATAAGGCTTTGGAACTGGTTTCTGTACTATACATGTAATAAGGAACCCACAAAACAGCATATTGGCAACTATTATAAAGGTCCTTGTTTACGTAGTCAGCTTAATGTTGGGCGACTGGTTTCTTCCTCCATTTCCTTTGGTATCGCCTTGGTAGAGAGGGCAACCTAGACGTCCTTCGCAAATCATCTGCCGGGATTCCATCTTTGGGAGGCCCGATGCAGTTCGACAGAAACTTGGCTTCCGCATGAAGTGATCGGCTTATTTTTCGTATGCTCGTACTGTGAATGCTAGCTGCGCCATCTATGAGTTGATGGTGCAATCTCCAGCACAAGGCTCACACTTCGACCTCGCTGCAGCTGTCAGATCTCAGATCTCGTTCTCGGAGACCTTTTGCCAACTAGCTGCTAGCTGGCTGTTGTTCTATCTTTCTGCAACTCCATCTTCCAAACACGAAGGAGACAGTCACACAAACACACACGCACACACACACACACACAAAAATAATGAACAAAAACAAGCGAGTAAACAACCAACCATCCAACTAAACAACCAAACACGTACACCAGCAATCAAAGCGGCAAACAACCTTGTATGCATCCCGTCCACACCTGCCTGCCTACCTGCCTGCCTACATACGTAAGTACGGACGTACATACCTGCATACATACATACATACATACATACAGACATACACTGCGCGGGGACGAAAATTGGTCGCATCCGCAGGATCTGGTTATGTGAGTTATGTGTTCTTCGCAACTCACTTCCCCCGTTGACCTGTCCAACACCCACTACCGACCTACATACATAGTTTGGACATCGACGGCTCTTCCCAAAAAACTCTACTGCCGAAGAGCCTTCCAGTCTGTCCAACCTCCAACTCCATAGACTGAAAGAGCTTCCCTGGCCTCACGAAGCTCTGGAACCTCACCCGCACCACACCCCAAGTGTGAAGCCTGCTGTCGGAGGCTCAACAACGAGAAATCCTACCGTCGCACTATAGCTCGGTTGCTTCATCCCGGCACTACTTGGGAAGACACCAAATACGGCGTTTTGGGACTTCGGTCTTTGAGGAGCAGTGTAGTCTGCCGTCTCGGACTCTGAATAGTGGGCACCAAAGCTAGACAAGCAGAGCACCCCCAGACTACAACCCTCAAAACTCCAGTCCATCAGCTCCAAATGCAACCCTGAAAAACGTCGAATTTCTGTAGACGCGCAAACATCCTCGACCCTGTCTCACTGCACCCAGCTGGCCGTGATGCAACAGCCAGCGCTCTCCAGCAAGCAAGAGAGCAGGTGCATCCGCCTCTCGCGGTTTGGAGTTTGGGATCGCGCCCCAAACTCTAGACTGGATGCAACCAGTCCCATTGTCACCCTTTCTACTTATCCTACTTGGCGGGGAAAGCTTGAAGCTAGTTCTGGAACCGGCGCCCACAGAGCCCGGTATCGGTTTTCTCGTTGTCAGCTTATGGGCTGCGATTCCTGGGGGCAGAGATTGGGATTTAGGGTTTCGGGGTTTAGGGTTTCAACTTTAGGGTTTAGGGGTTGTGCTTCCCATGTTGATGTCTGCGGAGCGAAGCGGAAGCTTGTGATGCCCCTCAAACCTTCTTTGGCCTCGGCTCCGTGGTTGCTTTCGGTCCCTGGCCTTGTCCGCTGCACTTCTGCCGCAGGGCAGAGCTGCTGTCAAAATCTCGAACAAGTCGACCAGGGAACCGCAAAGGGAATTACAAGTGAGCCCCTGCCCTAAATCCCAGGTTGGATGCTTCCCAATCATTGTGCCTAGGATCCCAGAGGGAGCCGCAAGGGCCAAAAGGTTCGATGCCACGTTTGTAATCCGAATCCGGACCCAAAAAGCGACCCTAATTCAGAGCAAAATCCACTGAAGAGTTTTGACACCCCCTCCCTTTACCGGTGCTCTGATATTTTAAGGGTTCTAGGAAAGCTTCGGGCTTTCTGGGTTTAGGGTCCGGGATCGAACAGCCTCCTCCCAGCCCGACTTTCCCAGCCTGAAGCTATTTCGGTCTCATTGAGAAAAAAAACTCGAAATCCCTCCCCCCAAACCCTCTAAACCCTAATCTAAACCCCCGAAACCCCCGAACTCAGCCAGGACAACTTACGCCTGCTCCGCTCTGGCTCTGGCAACCTTGGCGGCTTCCGTGGGCTTGAGGATTTGGTGCTTCATGTCAGACGTCATGTTCATGGGCATTACATTTTTGTATGCGCTTTTGGTGCTTCCGGGTTGTGAAGCTGAATGATTTATGAGTTAGGCCTTCACGTATGCCGGTTTAGAGCTCGAAGCTTCGTGCGCGGCCAACGATGTGAGCATCTCTGGATCCTGGATCGTGCCTCCTACGGATATGTGCTCGGCGCCGTATGTAAATGAAACATCTTCCTTTCAACTATATGCACCAAGCAGTGACGACCGCCTTTTCCGAGATCTCGTTGTCGTTCGATCGGGTCACGGCTGCCGAAATTTCCATGACACGACGGACTTATCAGCAATATATCAGCCTTTCCGGAGTGCAGTGATAGCCTGAGGGCCCACAGAGACACTCGAAAGTCTCGGGCAAAGGCTTGCTCGCGACAAAGATTAGCAACCGGCAGTTTGACCATCGTTCGATAGTGAAAGCAGCAGTCATGGTCAAAGTTATGCCAAGTTTCTATCCTAAAGAAACTGAGATGGCTGGGGATCCGGGCGGGCCGACCAGCACTTCTGCTGAGTCACCAGAGAGTCGGAGACGAATCACCTTCTTACTCTAGGGCTTATAAGGTTCTCTAGATTTTATAGGGTTTGGGGGCTTAGGGTTTAGGCTTGGGGGTTTAGGGTTTAGGGGTTTTGGGGTTTAGGGTGTATTTCTGTTCTAAGATCTCCGGTGATAATGTAAGTATGGCCGCCTCAAAGATCCGGAGGGCTTCTTTCTAGATGCCTAATGCAGGTTTGTACCATTGAGGCCGGCGTTGAAAGGGTTGCGGCCCAAGCTTTCTGATTCTCAAGGGCTCTTGTGAGTTCGGGGCCCTGTTAGCCTGTCGGAGGAATTTGGGCGTAACGTGCGATGCTTGCGCGCTTTGGGATCCAAACTAACATCGGAACCCCTAAAGGCGAATGAACTTCCACAAGCTTCACCGACGACTTCTAAGTCTGCCAACGAGACGGAGCCCGGCTCACTGAAACCGAAGACAGCTAGTGATCAGTTCCGCAGCGTTTGCAGCCTGAAGCAAAGTACACACAAGGAGAAACGTCAAACATTGCAAAGCCGAAGCACTGTAAACAGTAGAAGATTTCCAAACATACCTCAGTCTGCAACAACGCACAAAGACCGAAATATGAATGAAGGGAAAAGCACCCAAATACAGGCCAAGAGCTCTCGTCACCGTACTTATGGACATTCTCACTGTTGACCCCTCTTGAGATACTCTCGTGGTTGTTCAGTGTACCACACGGAGTTTCAAAACATGGCGGACCCTCATATACCCCAGAATTGTAGAATCCTCAGAATGAGGACCCCCGCAAGAGTCCCCTATGTATGATGATGTGAGTGACGCCTTCAATCGGATCTTCTAGAGTTAGTTTCTTTCTTTCTGATACTAATCAATATTGAAACCCGGATCCCCCCCCCGTGGGGTGAAGCCTTGAGCTCCAGCTCTTGGCACATTTTCCGAAGCTCGCTGGAGGTCGCCTCCTCAGGGAGCCTCAAACAGCCAGTTTTTCGGGTTGGGGGTTTAGGGAATTACAGGGTTTTGGGTTTAGGATTCAGGGTTTAAGGGGTTGCAGGGTCTGCTAGCAGAAACGAATTTAAGGGCTTTCGCTGTACTGTTGTTCTGCAGCGGATTACTACCATTAGTAGTATTATTGTTCTTGCCATTATTGTATGATTGCCATTAATATTGATATTACTATTGTTGTTAGGGCATAGGATCCGGGTTCAGGGTTAAAGGGTTCGTGCTCGCGCTGTCTTTCCATGAAGGCACGGGGCAATATGGCTAACCACCATGCGCACAGATGCAATCCTACGCAGAACAACTGGTGTCAGTCTGGAGCGAAGGAATTACTGAAATGATGATGCTCAATTAAATGTTGCACTGTGCTAAGACAGGACGTGGAGAGAGAGAGAGAGAGAGAGAGAGAATGAACACTACCCGCACCTGCATCGTTGAGGCTCCTCAAGATCCTGAAGATAGCCGCGCCGAAGTAACATGTCGCTGCTGTCCTGCCTCTAACTTCAACCTAAACCCCAAACCCAGAACCCTAAACCCTCCCAGCCCTAGCCCTGAACTGTTCCCCTGAATGAACCCTAAACCCTAAACCTCAAAAAATGACCCGGAACCTGCGATCCTTCGTTCGCTTCACCCCCGAAGGCTTCCCCGCAAAACACAGATGGACAGCTCCAGGGAGCCCCATATTGTTACAGTGCTGATATAGTATATCGACACTGCAAAACTAATATGCTATACTTTAGCTCAAACATAGGTTGATATGGGATATTAATCTATTTTTAGCTACAATATAGCATCCAGTGTATTGAGTTAACTAGGGGACCGTTAGGTAAGCGCTGTTATCAGTCTCCTTCGAATCAGTAGGGATAGTATGGAGTCGGATAGAGATTCTGAAATTCGTTTAGCTGTGAGGGTTTGAAGCTCTTTGACCGCAGGGCTTACTGCTACAAAACCAAAACGAAAAACTAGAAGGAACTTCAACCCTGATCCCAAAAATTGTACGCTCCAAGGGCATAGAAAACTGAAGAAGCCGAGGGGCTTGGTCACGCGGAATGCCAGACCCGAAAATGGGGAGGCATCAAAGTCTTCGTCGTTTCCCTCCTCCTGTCACACGTGTGCAGGTCTAGGGTTTAGGGCAAAAACCATGCAACTCATCTGCAGATTCGATTAGGGATCAAGACATAGAGCCGGGGAAAGTCTTTGTCGAGACCTCTTGTACCAGCCCACCACAACCAACGTTTTTGGTTCAGGCCCAAACCCAGGAAACCAAAGAACCCACGCCACCAAACGTGTTCCAAAAACTTTGGAGGACTTTCTCGCGCTGGAAGCTTGGTGGCGCCTCAGGCCTTACAGAGCCTTATTGTAAGGCCGGCCACCCATGGAAGGACCTAAGCCTCCGGCGCTATCCGCTAAAACCGCAGCCAAATTATATACACTGAATCGCAAAACCTAAACCCTAAAGCGATACCCCAAACTCAAGCTTTCAGATGTCACCTCCTGCAACATTGACGATGAAGGCTTCAGTGGATCCGGTTGAAACCCATAACTATAACCCCGCAACATGTTTACAACGCGCCCTACGTACTTAGGCACAGTCGGCAGTGCAATAAACGACCCCAGAAACCCGTAACCTGTCTCCTTTATCTCTCATTACTACTACTATTACTACTGATACTACTATTGCTACTATTATTACTATTACTACTATTACTACATGTAAAATGGTTCTTAGCAAAGCCCAAAGCCCTGCTCCGCTTGTCTTCAGCCATAATCCCAAAACCACCCGGCAAAGAACGCTCGAAAATCGAAACCTGATCCATCCCACGAAGTCTAACTTTCAACGTTCTTCATCCGACGCGATGTAGCTGGGCGGCAGAAAGAAGCTAAGGCTTAAGGCTTATATAGCTGTTTAGGTCAGACTAGAGCCTTAATACTTAATATCAAGTGTCTTTCCGGTATCGTGACGATATCTGAGGTTCTGGCTTTTTGTATATACCGAATGACGTTGCAACCCTTGGCAGTTCGTGGCCTCTTTGCTCTCGTCCTCCTCCCCTTGCGCAAAACACAGGACAGGCAAGAATGATTGGGGTGATTGGAGCTTAAGGGCAGCTTAGGGCTCTTTTCACACGCAAGGGCTGAGGGGGCTCGTGGGGCGAGGGGGTTGAAAGCTGCTGGAAATCCATGCTGAGTGAGTATAAAGGGTTCGGGATGGATCATGAAGACAAGGAGTTCCGATGCTTTCCTACCTGACGGTTTTGCACCCGCCTTTGGAACTTGGTGAGACTGTTTCCAGGCGCTGTCCCTAATTTGTAGTCCCTCTTCGTTGACCGTCAGTCAAGCAACTCGTCAATCCAAAAGTCCCTAGGTAGTGTACAGGTCGCAGACCCTGGACTGACGCTCGACGATAGACTCAAGCTTTATCTCGGCCCAAACCAAATCCGACGCTTTGCAGGCACACTGCCTGGAGCCCAAACGCTAAGTGCAAAGCACACATAAGCCATACATGCTTTTGGGTATGAGCTATTTTCAACTCTGCCCGCAAACACCTGTGTTGCAGTCTTTATCCTTCCCAAAGCCCCTCAGTGCCTTCGAGACTGATGTTCTCAACTGTGGAGGTGTCAGCTGGGAGGATCAACTCGGACAGGTCTTGGTCCTTTTTGCCTCGAGTGTGGATCGTGGAAAGCTCGAACCAGACGTAGGGTCTGGATGTTTACTGGCCCGGGTTTCGATTCACGATGTCCGCTTGTAGTCCTTTGCGGCAGGTTCATAGCATGCAGAAGCTCTGGGTCTTGGTGTCTGTGGCCGTTTAGAATGACCTATTCGGAATCAGGGGTGTAGATCTCTTCGACTCCGACCGGGCAATCTCGGGGTATTCTTGGTTTGGCTATGGTGAATCGACTTTGAAGGGTTTCAGGAAGACACTGCCGAGCCCAAAGGCCAACATCTGACATCGGCAAACCCAGGCCGCTCAGAAGACTTACCAGATACCAAACTCTCATCAGCTGCAGGCAAATGACTCAGATCCAGCAGCACATCGTCCACGGCCCAGTTTACCTGACCTGTGCGTTTGGGTCACTGTGCTTTATGACTTCGGCCTGCCACCTTCGTGGACCCGTGGGTTTTCCTTCTCCAAGCCTGCAAAGCTGTCAACGCAACATAGCTGGCTCAGAGTCAAGCTCCTTGGGGACCAGTGCCGCTATAACATTGTTTACGGAACTTGCGGCCGAAAGCGTGGTGCTGGGGCAGGTTTGGTGTTGTCGCGGTGCTGGTCCTGGCGGCAGCTGCTGCTGCTGCTGCTGCTAGAAGCAGCTTTTGTTGCCGTTGCAACAATCGTACAGTTGTTGTTAACTGCAGCACGCCGGTCGCCGTTGCAAAGTAAGAGAGAGAGAGAGAGAGAGTGTGTGTGTGTGTGTGTGTGTCTGTGTCTGTGTCTGTCTGACCATAACAATGCTCAGGAGCGGAACTTCCCACTACAGTCAACGGTCAACGCCACGAGCGTAACTCGCGATTTTGCGTGGCCTGGACCTTGACTTTGTCCTAGCTTGTTGGAAACAAGCTTCCTGCAACCTTACCAGCAGTATACTCCAAAATGACACCTGCGAAGTGGCCGAAGTCGCTTCCAGTCAATAACTATGGGCACTCAGCGAACACGATTTCAGCTTGAAGGAAGCCTGCACACGAAGCTTTCCAGCCCAACTTGTGAGAGAAGGCAGTACTACAGAAAGAGCATCCAACAGGGAGTTCTGGCTGGTTTGTGCAAGAATGGACTTGGACGGGGGTCTCCACCAGTGGAGGCTGCTAAACTATGCGGGAAATGTCACAGATTCCGGAACCTGGAAAAGCGAACCTCAGAACCCTACTCATTAAACTCTCAGCCTTGACCCTTTACATAAAAGCCAGCAAAATCCTGAGAGTGAAACAGATCCTAAAGCCCAAAGCCCGTACCGTAAACCCTTAACCCTAGGGCCCTAGGGCCGTAAGCCCAAAGTCCTTAAAGCCCATAGCCCTCAACTCTAACCCTAAAGCCCAAATCCCCGAAACCCCACACACCCTAAACCTCGAGTCGAGCGGCTCTCTGCTACGGCCCAGCTGGCCGGCGCGGGAAGCTCGCCCGTCAGTGCCTGCTCTGCCCACTACAAAGCGAAGCTTGCAGGAACCACTCAACTTCGCCGGAGGCTTCGGTGCTTCGGCCTTTCTTCGACTCTGCATTTTTTTCGCGTTTGGGCCTTCAGGCTTGAGGCGATTGTGCTTGTCGTGACTACGGCACCGAAGTTTTGTGCGCGCTGACAGCTTAGGACTTGAAGAAACGGGGTTTGCGCATAAGCTGGTCGTTTCTGGTTGTTCTGAACCGTCGATGTCCCGTTCTATCAGATCAGTGAACTTGGCAGATCGTGCCAGGAGCGACCACAGTCAGAAAAGCCACTACTTCTTCTTACTGGCCACAGGACCTTGAACTACGTCGAATCGAACTCCCAAGGATAACCATTCGGAGAAGGGCGTGACCTGAAATCGAAACCTGACCAGCTTTTTTCAATGGTCCCCAGCATCAGTAGCACGGCCATGCGGTCCTGGCTGTATGCTAGAGGCCAATCAGTTAAACCAACACGGACCAATACGGATGCACAGAAGCTACGGCACTGAAAGAAGAAGACGACTACGCAGTGCATAGTCTTGGCCTTCTCCAACCGCCGAGACTTCTCTGTGGCCGGCAGCCCCGGTGCCTCCGCACAGGTATCTTCCCTTACGATTCTGATCGGGGACAGGGCCCAGAGCTCAGAAACGAATCGCTAGTCTATCCAAAATTACATGGCCCTTGGCTGCGCCACTTAGTACTGGTAATTTGATCAACCTTTCACAACCACCTAAACCTAGATGGCTCGCGCAAATCGGAACACGCGAACCCTTAAGGCGCTCCATTCGGTTCTGCCACCGTCCTGGACTCCGGGACTTACCCCAAGGCTCTGAGGACTTATACTTTAGAAGCTGCCCCCACCCTGTAATAGTGACCATAAGGATTATAGTAATATTAGATTAGGGCCCTATTATATTCCTATTATACCACTATTACAGGGTGGGGGCAGCTTCTAACTTATACTTTAAGACCAGCAACGACAGCCTGTTCTCTCGGAAGTGTAGAAGGTTCAGTCTTCAGGGATCCACTCCAGCAGGCACCACCACGCTTGAATACTCAAAAACACCTTATCCCACACCCTGACCCCAATACGCTAACCCGAAAAACAGACACAATCCAAACCAGCAACTCCGAAAAACCACAAAACCTAAAATCCCAATAAAGCCTAAACCAATCTCTCAAATTCCAAACCCCTCTAGAATCCGCATCTGAGGCCTCCTTCCGCTGGTGCGCAGCCACACATCCCCTAGGCTTGCGAGGATCAGAGACCTGTCAGCATATCATGTTTTCAACATTCTGGGTTTATTCTTGGTTTACGGAGCAAGGGATTTAGGGTTTAGGAAAGAGGGTTGTTCGGGGCACGGGGTTTGTAGGGTTTGTTAGTTGGGTGTTGTCCTTTGCCCTCAGCTTTCTCCTCAACTGCCACCCTGACTTGCAGTAGCTGATCCTGCTGCACAAGCACTATAAATCATAAGCTTGGAACGGTCTTGTAGAACGTCTGGCCTAGGATCATATTACATTGAAAACCAGGTAGACTACCAGAACACTACAGTTCGAGGGTCAGCGCTCCCCAGCATCTTTGAACAACACTAAGCTGGGACACATGTTGTCAAATGCTGTTGTCAACTGAGAAATACAGACGGGCCAGCTCACTTTCTCGAGTTAATTTTCGTTTTCAGTGTCTGACTATGCAAAGATCAGTGTATTGCGATTGGGATTCCTGAGGCTATCATCAATTGCAAAGGGTTGCCATCGCCAGGAAGGCTCAGGCAACAGGTTGGCCTCGGATTTTGAGCATGAATCCAATTCAGGATTTCTTGAGGCCTTGCGCATAAATCCCTGACTTGCTTGGAGGGAGCTTGGCAACAGGGCCTCCGATCGAAACTGCTGGGACTAGAAAAGCTAGACCCTATTAGGTGAAGGGGGCAAACCTCAAGGTCCTTTCATCAATCAGGGCTGTTGTCAATGCCATATCATTCCATCCCTCAAGCTCCTGAACTCTGTTAAAACATTCAAAGCTTCGGGCCACAACGACCGAAGCTGCTACGCTGCTACGGTTTCGGATTTAGGGCTATATCCCTTGAAACCGGAAGGGACCCGCCTGCGGACGTGGGCGTGCAGGCAGCGTCTTGGCATGGGCCAAGCGCCTGGATTGTTTCTGCCTCCCCTTGCTGCAAGTCTTGTCTAGCAGAGTCACCCTCACCTTCGCTTGCTGTCTTTTGGCCGTGTTTTCTTGGCTGCAGCCCTATAGACCCTAAACTATCCCAAAATCCCTAAACCCCAAACCCTAAAAGCCCAAACTCTGAGCCCTGAACCATAAACCCTAGACCCCCAAGCCCTGACTCGACAACCCCGCCCCCAAACCCTAAACCCGTACCAAACCCCCAAACCCCAGCCCCCAATAAAGGGGCCTTAATAATTAGAATAAACGTTTGGGGCCCAATATACTATAATCATAATAAGGAACCACCAAAAATAGTAGAGGTAATTATTGAGGCCCCTATGTTACAAGACCATCTTGAGCCTGCTGGTAGCTCGTGGTGGCTCAGGCGGTTGATCCGTGAGGCGGGTGCGCCTAAGCAGAGTTGCAGGTGTTCAGATTGCAGGGCTTAGAGTCTGGGGTTTAGGGCTTGCATGGTTCAGGGTTTCGGTTTCCAGAGTTGCAGTTTGCACAGCATTTTCGTTCTAAATGAACTTACGGCTAACCCTTTTTTTCTTTATACCACATAGCTGCGACCCCTCGATAGGGGTTTGAGGTGCAGAGGTTTTAAATGCGGTCTACATGGTGTCGAGTTTAAGGGTTAAGTTAAGTTAGTCAGGGCCCCCGAATCGTGAAAGTAAAGCCGTGGGTTACGCCCAGCGGAAGCCTTCTGATCCTGACATCAGCGCATAAATCAAGGGATCCCGAATCCTAAGCCCATGGAGTTTCCGAAAATAGGGAAATTTTATATAGTACCATAAATAGTAGGATCCTGATTCTAAGGACCCCAAAATAAGGTACCCCCCCTAATTTTCGGAAACTCCCCAGGAACTTGGGACCTCGACTCATCGGTTTAGCCATTCAGGTTTGCTATCGACTGAAGATAATGCTGAATTAAAGAACGGCACTGAAACATTTGAAAATTCGAAAAATCCTTGAAGCCGCTTGAAGCCATAGACACTTGAAGCCACTGAACCCTTCAAGCCCTAAACCCTGACACTCTAAACCCCTACAGACCGAAACCGCGCAACCTAGACCCAAAAAAGCCCCAAAAACCCTGGCCGTAAAGCCTCAAAGCCCTGAACACTCCCCAAACCCCTAAAATAACACACCCTCCGAACCCATAGCAAAACCCCAAACCCGGAAGCTTCAACCCAAAACGCCAAACCTGCCAGACCCACATCCCCCCAAACCCTAAAACCCTAAACCCTAAACCCCCAAACCCCCCCCAAAAAAAAACCAAACCCAAACCCAAAACAAGTGCCTCGATGGTTTGGCCTCGGGTGCCCGCATGGCCTGGCCCACGGGCTGGGCGACGTGGGGTCTCGGGCGTCTCGCTTTTCGGGGCCTCTACAGTAGAAGCCGGAAAGTTGGAATATGGTTATCATAATCCCTTTAAGGTAAATTATAGGGGATCCTGCCACTATTCCATATTCCAACTTTCTGGAGTTCCCTTTAAGGTTTCTGTGTGGCCTTGGGGTTTCCTGAGTTTAGGGAGGGCGTAGAGTTTAACTATACTATAAAAATAACAAGGAACCACCAAAATAGTATAGGTAATTACTATACTAACTATACTGAACTTAGAACCCTAGCAACACTTGTAACTTTAGCTGTTTCTTCTTGGGGATTATAACCACCAAAAATTAAACAAAATTTCTAAGTACCCCTAAGTTTAGGGTTTAGGAAAGCTGGTTAAGGCTCTGTGGGTTTCATGTCTGAAGCTTGAAGCGCTTGTGTCGGCATACACCGAGTGGCCACCGTTGCCAGCGAGTGAGTGTAAGTCTGATTGTCTTCCAGCCCCGATAATAACTCCGCTATAAATCTAGTCTAGACCCAATAAATTGGCCCTGTGTGGTTTCAAGGTTTATGGAATTCAGAGGTTGTCGCCAGGAAGCAGCTTATTCAACTTCACAACCCCACAGGCTGAAGCATGGACCCCAACCAGCTCTGCTGGTACGAAGCCTACACAACAATGTTTTACAAGCATCCATCAAACTAGCCCCCTTCCCACCTGAACCTCCCGGCGCTTTGTGAGATGCCAGGCAGCCGCCTTTAGACCAGGCTCCACGAGGTCTTGGACTTGCTTTGGGCAAATGCGGGGGGAGGATGGGAGGCATCAACGAAAGCTCTGAATCAGTCAGGGTTTAGTCTAAGAGTTCCGGATTTCGGGTGCAGGGTTCTGGGTTTCAGGCTTAGCTTTCTGGCGTCGAGGTGTGAAGCTTCCTTCGACTCCTGACTTGCTTGCGCGTTCATGCGGGCTCCCTTTCAAATCCACTCTCCGAGCTTCGGGGCCTTGGAAAAAAACGGCTGCAAAGAAATTCTGGAAGAGTCGCTCAAAGAATAACGGGGAATCCGAATTCCAGGATTGCGCACATAAGCTGCCATGTTATAATGATATAATTCAATGCTGAGCCGCATCCCTGTAACATGTATAATGCATTCCTTTGTTAGAGTTAGAGCCCCTGTATGATCATACTATAGCAACGCCCAGACCCTGTTGAAGCTTTTAACGCCCTCTATAGTAGGATACGCTAGAGTATTGCTTAGTCCTAGAAAAACCAAGATCGCAAGTCTTGAAGTCCAAACCCAAGTTTCTGACACCACTCCAAGCCTAGAAGGCTCAGACCCCAAACCCAGAAACCTGAAAACAGATGCTTTGCTTCCTAAACCCTAAACCCTAAACCCTTAAACCCTAAACCCTAAACCCTAAACCCTAAACCGTAACTCATCAAGCGATGTCAAGCCAAGTCTAGGCTGCTAAATCGGGGTCTAGAGATGAACCTGGCCGACTTAGGGCTTGAGGTCTGGGCTTGCTTGGTCTCAACCCTACTATAATATAATATACTATAATATACTATAATATAATATACTATAATATAATATCCATCACCAAACACAACAAAGATCGTACAATGCAACACGGGGGGTGCCTCGGCCAAACTCGAGGTTTTCGGAGCCTTGCGCCAGGGCTATCTGCGTTGTCGGCTCAAGGTTTCCGGGCTTGAGGGTCTAAGGTTAACGGTTCTTGGGTTTAGGGGTTCAGGGGTCTAGGGGTTTTGGGTTTTGGGTTTAGGGTAAGGTTCATGACGGGTCACTTCACTCTGTGAGTCACAGCAAGCTCCTGAAACTCTAAACCTTAACCAGGGTTGAATACGAACGCAAAGGCTGAACCTGAAAGCCACAAGCCTAACCCCCACCAAACCCTTCCCTCCGCGGCCTTCGTCACATCCACGACCGGCGATGGCCGGCTGCGGACAAACACGCGCTCCTCTCAGGGCCGACTGTAAGACGAGGATGGCCATGATTCGGGAGATGATGGTGGTCATGGTCGTGAGGATGGTGGGGACAAGGATGATGATGCAAGCCGAAGACCAGGATGAGGACGAGGATGGTGGTGACGATGGTACTCTTGCTGTTATTCTTGTTGCTTTTACTGTATCGTGATGAGAGGGAGGATTATCCGCAAATTTCGGCACGTGCCCTCAAACACCTCCCACGGCTCCTGTGCTCCCGCATCTGCCGAAGCTCGCGTCTCCTGCGCTGCGGTCCGCAGGTTTCAAATTTAGGGTTCCTTAGAACTCCACCCAAGGGTGCAGGGTTTAGGCTTCAGGAGATGGCTGGCCGGCCGAGTGCTTTCGCGACGTTCATAAACTACAAAACCGTGGCAATTGAGGACATGCTCCTTGCAAGTGTAGCGGGGATTCTAACCAAGGTATACAAGATGTGGGACTATCGTAGTGGCCTGAACACTTGCGAAAGGTGGATCTGATTTTGATTCAGACTCTTCAGGGGGGTTCAGGGTTGAGGTTTGGGTTTCGGGTATAGGGTTGTAGGGCGTGGCGGACAGCACTTGATCGGACAAACGGTTAGGGTCCAGGGCTAGCGGCTACCCTCACAACACCCAGCCATTGTGCACGAACCTGAACGAAACTATAGCGCGTTTTACGCTGGGACACTGTGAGGTACTCCAGGTGCTATAATCATTCAAGGCCCCAATATTCTGGGAGTCTTTGGCTCCTGTTACAGGGTATTGCCTTGTAGCCAGGTCCAGAAAGCGGTCCCAAACAGAGCTGCAGACACAGTTCTGCGCATGCTACCGAAATTGCTTCTCGTGCTTCTACACGCCCAACCTGGCATTGCAATGAAGTCTCGAAGCGGAATCGCGAAAGCTGCATTCAAGACCCGTGCACCTATCCCAGAACACAACTGCAAGAACTCAACTTTGCTTTCCTTTCGGTATCCTGCAATAGTCTTTTGAATTCGGACTTCGGCCTAGAGAGTTGCACAAGACACGCAGGAGGTCCAGAGCAGTAGCGCTGCCAGGCAGGCTGCCGAAGTCCTAGCGCGGAGCTTCTGAGAGCTGAGCGCTTGGGGGTTCCCGTCTTCGGGCCGTTGCCCCATATGGGAGTTTCCGAACAATTAGGGGTACGTTATTTTGGGGTCCTTATAATAAGGATCCTTCTATTTAGGGTGCTATATTAATTAGGGTCCCCTACTTTCGGAAACTCCCATATACCCTGACCCCAAGGCCCAAGAAGGGCTCAGCAGCTTTCGGGCTACTGATGCTTCTGGGCTTTTGGAATGAAGAATGCCATGCCTCAGTTGTCAGCTTTACCCATAGGCCCCCCACAGTAGTTCCTTTTTGAAGTTCATATGTAGCATCCTATAAGGTAATCCCACAAAGGAACTACTATGGAGCCTAGGGGTATACTTTGGGAGGATCTCTTTGTAAGAGCTTCAGGCTTGGAGTTGACAAGAGAGCTGCGAGGCACTCGAAGCGATGTCCGAGAAGTGATCGAACTCGGGGATGAGTGTGGCCAGCTGGGCACATTGTGCTCCCTGGCGCTCCCTTCTTCCCGACGCTTGCAGCCAAAACCCATCCGGCCACCTAGCAGGGCCAACAAGCCGCAGCAGCAGCAGCAGCACCACCACCACCATCACCACCACCTGCTGGCTCCGAAATTTCCTGGCCTCCTGAGAACAGCACGAATCTGCCCCCGCACACCTCGAACCCCTATCCGGGAATGTCAGCTTTGTACGCGGGCCGACACCCTGAGCCCGGTGCCCCTTCCTGGACCCCCAACTACCCCCTATTATATCCCAAATAGCCACTATTAAGGACCATAAGGGCTCTATTAAAGGGCCCTGGGGCGCCCTTAACGCTCAACCCTCATCCAATCCGCTTACACGAAAGTCTGCGGACGCTGGCCCGCTGGCCCGGACAGCCCTGAACCGTTTGGCTTGTTCCCTCGGAAAAGGTTAAGTCCTCGGAAGATGAGCCTAGAACCGACCCCGAAACCCTGTGCCTATGCCTACACCTCGCCTTTTGCAAAAACCTCATTCCTCAAATACCAGATGTGTAACACATTGATACTGACAAGAACCATGATCATGATAACAATGCTACCCATGAGAAGAACAAGCAACCTGCCAGATGGGTTTAGGGTTTAGGGATTAGGTTTTTTTTAGATGCCGTGGCCGTTTCGGGTTTAGGGTTTAGGGATTAGGGTTTAGGGATGAGGGGTTTAGGGTTTAGGGAACCCGAAACCCCAAACCCTCCGTCCTTTGCTTCGGCTAGAGCCCTCGATCGTGGCGTGAGCTGGAGATCCTCGGGGGTACTACAACGGTTACGGGAAAGGGGCACTCTGAGGGTCCTTCTGAGGGATACTATGCACGGCGATATAAGGGTTGCATGAATAGATATCAGGGTTGCTATATACTATAAGGGCGATTATATAAATGTGATCGTACGAGTTACTATGATGGCTGCTCTTAGGGTTGATCCAAGGCGAAGACACAAGACCTCCAAAGCTTCACCTTACATGCTCCTTCACTGTGAGCTCCAGTTCTATTGCTTTAGCACACAATGCTGGACCCAATAACACGAAAGTCTAGGGTCGAGGTTTAAAGTTTAGAGAGGTTCCGGGTAAACACATTAAGCCTTAATTCTGCAGGGCGGGTTGGCAAAGCCCTGTGCAGAGACTCAGCATCCTGTGCCCGAAGTTCAGCCCCGATCCTGCTATCGTCTGATGGAGCCTGGAGCCCTGCTGTTAAAGTAGAGGTTTAGACGCATGGCAACTCCTCACGATTCAGATTCGTAGAAAGTCCCCGCACTGGAATCGGGACAAGCGTCATCCACTTTCTGCATGCGGGCTCGGAGACGCTTCTGAATGGCACACGCTTTGACATTTTGCAGTGGGCTGGGTTAGGACGGTAAGTAACTCGGCCATAGGCTAAGAGGTCTGCCAGTACAGAGTGCTAAGACTTAACATACGACGAGAAGATGGGCAACGCCACAGAGGCAGATCCAGGGTTGTTTTGGTTTGCAACGTCTCCATCTCGGAGGGCTTCGGACTCTGCCACTCTCTTTGCTGATTTTCAAAAGAGAAGGCTGACCTTCTGGCTTAACAATAGGCAGCTTGAGGTCCAGTGTATGTTTCGAATTTCTCGTTCTCACTGCGAGGAACCGGACGTTCACGCTATATCATTTCCGGGATCGTTCAGCTTCAGTCTCAAGCCGTCAGAGGGCCCCAGAACCACGGCCTTGCCCTACGCAACTGGATTCCTTCCTAAGTCCTGTAGACTTGCCGAGCAGTATACCGCTGCTCAAGCATTACACCATCCTTGCACATTCATCGCGTTGAACCCCCGTTTGCGTTCGGAGCACATTCAAGTGCATGAAGCTTCAAACCCAGCCGACAGCCTCGGATACGCAACCTAGGAATGGCGAAGCCGGTTGCGAGCTCCTGGCATTTTGCTTGGGGTTCGGGGTAGCGGGTTGGAGTGCTTGGGGTGTCCTGATTTCGTGTTTCCCCCAGAGCCCTTCTCCCCACACATCCAAAAAAGACCTGAGCTTTGGACCCTAAACTTCGTGATAGACCCTAAGCCCTAAGCAGTCCCATTGAAACTCGTAGAGCAACGCGGGCCATTCCGAATACATCAAACTCCGGACTGCGAGTACGGGTATATACAAAGATCACAATGGTGCAGAGTGCAGGGACTTTGGGGTTTGGGTTTAGGGCGCGGGGTTGCGGCTTTAGCTTAGGGCTTTGCGGGGGGGGGGGGGGGGGGTCAGGGCTTTATGCTTGGGGTCCCAAGCATCCTGCAGTCAGGATGCTAAGGTTCGGACGGCCCGCAAAACCTAAGCCCTAAACGGTACTAAACCCCCTATTTTAACTTATAAGACACTCGTGAAGCCTTTATACACCCCCGCTTGGGCCCAAAGCCCACAAAGGCAAAGCCCCAAAGGCCCACCAAAGCCATGAATGATGTTCAGGCTGTTAAGACTACGAGGAACATTACTAACATCATTACAACTACCAGTATGAACAAAAAGCCCAGCGCCTCGGTCATAGCGTGGGAAGCATGTCGGGGTTAAGGGCGACGATTTGGGAGGTGGGGTATACATGGGAGTTTCCGAAAATAGGGGACCTTAATATAGTACCCTGTATAGTAGGATCCTTATTATAAGGAGCCCAAAATAACGTACCCCCAATACGGAAACTCATACATCGAAGAACATCTGCACTTCATCTCCTAAGCCTCACAATCGGCTTCAAGGCACGGAGTTTACGCCCCAAGCAAAATCCCTCAACCCGAAACCCTAAACCCTAAACCCTAAGCCCTAAACCCTCAACCCTAAACCCTAAACCCTAATCCCTCAACCCGAAACCCTGCATTCCGACTTCCCTGAGGCCCTCCTGGGAGTTAGCGGCCGTGGTGACACCTGCATAATCCAAGGCAAGATCGGGGGCATGACCCTACATTCTCTTTATGCATTTCTTGTGTTTATAAATATATATATATATATATACATATATGTATATATATATATATATGTATATACATACACATGAGTGTATAAGCACGTATAATAACTACCAAATGAGCAAGTAAGACAGAGAGAGTGTGTGTGTATGTGTGTGTGTGTGTCTGTGCCTGTGTGCCTGTGTGCACGTATGCATGAAAACCTCTACAGTCACAATATAGATACTGTTTACATTGTTGGATCTGGTATATAGATACTTTACAGATCCTTTAAAGAAAAGTTTCCGATAAACACAGATACTCAGACACTGTCATATATTGACCGATATATATGGATATTGGCTCATCTGGCATTAGCTCAACATCGCACTAAAGTAATCTGCCAGCAAATCAGCATAGCAACGTTCAATGATGTAGGAAACTGCTTAAGAAACCCTGGACCTATAATCCCAAAATAGTAGGATTCATCTAAGGATCCCTAAGACAGGCCCAAGGTCTCTTAATCAGGTTCCTACATGAACCCTAACCCTAAACCCTTTATGGTACCCTTTATAGTATAGATCCCCTATAGATCCCTTTAAAGGAACCCTTCTAGAACTGGTTGGTGCAAAGGCTTCGGTGCAGAGGGCTCCGAGACTTGGGTCGACTTGGGCTCGGGGTGGAAGGTTCAGCGCTTCGGGCTTGGGGCTTTTGGGAGCTTAGTGTAATACAGGGGCTCTGAAAATCAGAATAGGGTTTGGGGGTATGTTAATACTATAGTCCGATTAAGCAACCCCCACAATAGTCTTGGTACGATATCGGCCCATTTATTAGGCCACTGCGACTTGGGCTCAGGGCTTGAAGGTGCCTTTGCTTGGCCGACGTCTCGAGGGCTGGAACTGGTGTTCCCAAGCCCAGGGCTAGAACTCTTGCGGACAACGTTAAACCCTAAACCCTAGACCCTAAACCCAAAGCCACGCGAAACCCTACAAAACATCTCACACCCCAAAACCCTGCACAAGCATTGTACAACTCAAGGCTAGACGAGGTCCAGCCTCGCACCGTGGCCGCGGAGAGTGCCTCTCTTGGGCCAAGGGCCGAGGGGATGGCGTCCTGCCGGCGGCGGATTCATCAACACCTATAACATAACACAGCTCTGCGTATGTATATCTATATACAAATATACGTATGTAAGTATGTATGTATGTATCTACATCGAGCATGTACAAATATGTGCTGTGTTTCATGTGTGTCTAGCTGCATTGCTTGTTGCTGGCGGGTTGGAGGAGGTGAGGGGGCTTCGGGCTTTACGTGTTGGGCTTGGAGCTTGTGGGATTTGGCAGAAGAGATCGGATTCCGATTGTAAGAGGGAGCTCTGTAGTGAAGGAGTTGGATCTTGCACTGCGGATGCGAGGTCTTGGATCTGAAGAGTGACCGGACTAAAGCTACGTTGCGGGTTCCAGGTCCCGAATCTTCCATCCAGGGTGGCAATATAAGGTGCTTACACGGTTTCAAATCGGTTTTCGGTGCCAGGGGCGATTTCGGAGCAATTTGTGGGTATAATTCGGTATAATATACGATGCGTGTGGAAGAGGCGCGTTGATCCAGGCTGTGATCCCTTTAAGAGGGGGCTTGTTGATCGCTCCGCTCCTCATAGCCTATGCTCCGCAAGCTCTGTCTAAACCATACTGGCCCTCACGGGCAGTATGCAAGACTCAGGGCTGAGAGTTGGGCAGGTACTCCAAGCAAGACCCCGGCTGTGAAGACATGATCATCGCAGCTTAGTTTAGTTGGCCGCGTGTGACGACATCCGATCTGTCGCGCGCCTGGCTCTTGGTGTGGTTGTCCGCGGGGTCCTGACAGCGGAGTGCAGGCTCCGAGGAACGTGCAGACACTGCCGCAACTTCAAGCAAGAAGTAGTAGTACGTAGTAGTAGTAGTAGTAGTAGTAGTAGTAGTAGTAGTAGTAGTAGTAGTAGTAGTAGTAGTAGTAGTAGTAGTAGTGGAGTAGTAGTAGTAGTAGTAGTAGTAGTAGTAGTAGTAGTAGTAGTAGTAGTAGTAGTAGTAGTAGTAGTAGTAGTAGTAGTAGTAGTAGTAGTAGTAGTAGTAGTAGTAGTAGTAGTAGTAGTAGTAGTAGTAGTAGTAGTAGAAGTAGTAGTAGTAGTAGTAGTAGTAGTAGTAGTAGTAGTAGTAGTAGTAGTAGTAGTGATGAACCCTGATCCCTGTGTTTTCGCTACCGCGCCCCCCGAAAGCTTAGACCCAAAAGGTCCTCCTCTCGGTCCGGGAAGCCAAGGGAAGGGCAATGGAGCCTGGGGCAAGTCGCGCTTGCGATCACGGATGTTGAAAGCCCAGCATCAGACTCAGAGTTGATTTGGCATCTCGGCCGTAGAGCCAGAACTTCCGAAACCCTAAAACCCTGAGCCAGAATATGCCAGAATACATTACAAGTTTCTGCGATGCACTGGAATGTACTATAATATCAAACTCTACTATAATCTAGGGAAATTTACGATAATGTACTATAATATAAACTACAACGTAAACCCATTAACCCCAAACCCCAAACTCCCAAAGCTTCAAAGCCCGACCCGTAGCCGTAGCCTCAACATGGGGTGTCATTACGATGAAACTGGGGGGAGGTCAGCCATCCACATTACCACGTAGGGTCACTTTAGAAGCTTAGGGCTCATGGGAATATTCAGGGCAGGCACATAAACAGGGGTACTGTCTTACTGGTGGGTTTATGAATCTCTGGTGGGCCCCTGTGTGGAGTGACACGGATAAGAAACAAAACGAACACCAACGATATCGTCATCTTCAGCATCAATCCCGAACTTGGGATCCATCAGGGCTCACTGACATTCAAGACTCTTATGTTCAAGCCATAATTCCCAATTCGAAAATGGAAGAATAAGAAGAGAAGCAACCGGCGCCTCCACGCCGAAGGTCTCCAACACTTCTGGTGCGCTGAGGTCTCGGTGGCCGCGTGCCAAGGGCCTGTAGATGCAGTTGCAATTTTGCTTACAGAGTTTCTCATTTTTTCCCCGTCCGGCTGCTCTGAGTTATGTGGTGGCTTATGCTGCCCGGATGAAAAACCACAAGACCTAGCAACAAAGGCTCACGGAGTGAGGCATTCTAAAAGATACAATACCGTTTTCTTGATGTCCAGTCGGTCACGGTACACAGTTTACGCAATAAGCTAGCATTCACTAATGGAGCTGCAGCAGCAGGAGCAGCGCGGGAGGAGCAGGAGGAGCAGGAGGAGGAGTAGTAGTAGTTGTAGCAGCAGTAGCAGTGGTAGCAGCAGCAGCAGCAGCAGCAGTAGCAAGTGCAGTAGGAGGAGTAGTAGTAGTAGTAGTAGCAGCAGCAGTAGCAGTAGCAGTAGCAGCAGTAGTAGTAGTAG